GCCACTATAACAATCACCCGGCCTTGGCCAGCAGAATGGCTGATCTTCAGGGTCACCCCATGTTCTCCTGTCTTCTCCTAGCATCCCCCACAACAATGGCATGTGTGGAATTGAGGAAAACGCAGTATTAGTGGCAACCAGAGCTTAATCTTAAAACAGATCTCCAACAATTTAACCCTCTTGATCTTTAAACAAGTCTCAAACAATTTAACCTCTTATTCTTTTTATTACTTTAACAATGTATCAGCAAATAGTTGTCACTTGTTACTATGAAAATGATAAAAAATTTGAACATGCAGATTTTAAAAAAATTATCCCAAATTCCAACTTCCCTAAGTACCAGTGTTATCATTTGGTGTAAATTTCCAGATTGTTTCCCACTGAAATACATGCATCTTTTAGAGGAATGAGGCAGTCCTGCATATCCATTTCTCTAACTACTGTTCCATTTGCTATACTTCACACAGCCCTCCATGCCACTCAGTATAAATTCCATTCATGGCTGTGTGGTGTGCGTGGCATCAGTGGCCATTGAGCCTTCTATTGTGGGATATTTGGGCTACTTCAGTAGTTCAAGTTCTCCATATTATAAATAGTGCTGCAATAAAACCCTCATATGAACCTTCATTCTGCTGTGTTCAGATATTTTAAGATTCATTTTTAATAAGAATTTCTAGCTCCAGCAAGTGTGCTGTACATGTCTGTATCCCCAAATCAAAGGGCTCCTTCTGGTCTTCATCTTACTTGACTTTTCACAGCATTTAGAATGGTTGACAACTGCTTCCCCTTGAAAACTGTTGCTCCCCTGGACCCAGAGACACCAGTGCCGCTTTTGTTTTTGTCCCCTTTGCCAGTTCCTCTGCTGTGTTAGTAGTCCTTATGCTGAGTCTCAGGAAACCCACTCTCCTTGCTCCACACTTTCAGGCCATTTCATTCACCTCCCATTCTGGCTTCAGTACTAATAGCCAACATTTATTGAGGGCTTAAGTTAAATCATCTCATTTAATACCAACTAATATAGAAGATGAGAGCCTTTATGACCCCATTTTCTCATCTCTCAGGCATCTCTATCTGTCCTTCATTAATTTCCAAAATTTTGCAAAGCATTGATTCACATATTTCACTTGGTTTTTCAATTGTTTTAGGTGGGAGGTTAAATACAGTTCCCGTTGCTACGTTCTAGTTGAAAGTAGAAGTCCCTTACTCCTGTCATAAACATGAGAAATCACATGTTCCATGACATTAGTTGTCCAAGGTCACATAGACCCAGGCTTGCACACTTGAGAGCTAAGGCCTTAATTATGAGCCTACATTGCTGTGCAGATAGGCTCTATGCTGATAATCTCCAAACCTCTACTTTTATGACAATGCCCTCCTCTCAACTGCCCTCATCTTCACCATCTCCGGGCATGTCAAACTCAAGATGTCCAACACTGGTGACCTCCCCCAGCTCTCATACTCCCCTGTCTCTTCAAATGGCATCTCCATCTGGCCAGCTGCTAAGGCCAGAAACTGGACTCATCCTCCTCTCTTGTGCCCTTCAGGTAATGACTGCCCTGGGTCTGTGGGTAGAGGAGAGAATAATGGGCTCCTGCACATGCCCATGTCCTGATTCCCAGAAGATGTGAATATATGTTACCTCACTTGGCAAAATAGACAAGGAACCTGAGATGGGGGGAGCTTTTCTGGAGTATCCAGTGGTCCCAGTATATCTTTATAAGAGGGAGGCAAAAGGTTCAGAATCAATGAGAAGATGTGATGATGGAAGCAGAGGTTAGAGAGATATTTGAAGATGATACATTGCTGTCTTCCAAGATGGAGGAAGAGTCCACAAGCCAAGGAATGGAGAGGCCCATAGCAGCTGAATGAGGCAAGGCATGGATTATGCCTTAGGGACTCCAGAAGGAGCATTGTCCTCCCAACACTTTGGTTTGGGACCTCTGACTTTCCCAACATAGGGTAGCTGTGTTGTTTGAAGTCACTGAGTTTGTTATAATCTGTTACAGCAGCTGTAAGAAACTCATACAAATGGCATGGTAAATAAGCACATGGCCTCCAAACTCAGACTGCCTGAGTTCAAGCTCAACCTTGGCCATATGCTGTCTGTATGAATGTGCCATTCATTTAACCTCTCTGTGCCCCAGTTTCCTCATTTTCTAAAATGCTGATTTGAAAAAAAAACACTTTATAGGCTTATTTGAGGATTAAATGCATTATTCCAGATGGAATGCTGATGAGCTCTGGATGAGGAGGAGCAGCTGTTATTATTCCTGCTCTTACGGTTCTTACCTACAACTTATAGATGTAAAGATCCCTCTCCTTCTCCATCCCCATACCTCTGATCCAGACCTTCCTCAGTGCTTCCTAATGGGTCTCCCTGTGAGTTGTGGGTCTGATTCTATCTTTAGCTTTCTCCTGCCAGCCTTCCAGGAGATCTCTTTGCCCTCAAGGTGAAGACCAGAACCTCAGTGGCTTAGGAGGCCTTTCACAGACTGGCTCTATACCACTCTGAGCACTTTCCCTTATGGCTCACTCTTCCTTTCTTTCAGTTTCTTCAAACTTGATGAGCTTGCCTTTGCCAGCTCTTGCTGAGTAGACTAGTCTACTCCTTCACCTATCCCAACCCTTACCACCTTACCTAACAGGCCCATCCCTGCTCACATAAGCCCTCTCTGGCCACACCCCAGGTAAAGTCCTTGTTATATATTCCTGTGGTTCTACACTTGTGGGGACCCCTATGTCTATAATGACATGTCTAATGCTTGTCCTCTTCCAGTGCTAGCCCTACACTGAGATCAGAGGTTGTGTCTGTGCCCCAGCCTGTCCTCACAATCAGGTGGTCAGCTGATGTCAGTGAGGACCTAAAACATGTCACATGCAGGCAGAACAACCCTACAACTCAACTGACCATCAACACTACTTGCTTTTGTGCAGAGCTGAGGGGGGCCTTTCTTATCAACTTACCAAACAGTTCTGACTTTGTTTAGCTGATGAACTCCACACTGGAGGTGCTCATGGACACTCCTGCCCCATGCCTGTTTGAGTGACTGAAGGGGCCTAACATCCTACCCACACCTTTCTCTGAGGATCATACAAGGAGAGCTGTGGGAAAGCAGCACTAGGGGTCTTGCCCATACTCCAGGGGAGGAAGAGTCTGGAACCAGGTGTCCACACCTGTGGTTGTCACCTTCCCACCTGTTCTGCCACTCTGTGGAGGATGGTCCCTGGACAGCCATGGTGATTTCTGCCAGTGACCACCTTGAAGGAGAACATCCCCAAGCTTTGATGGGTAATGTTTTCTAGTCTCTATCTCCCCTCTTACATTGGGCAGGTATGATGAGCAGATGGAAGTCCCCTCAATTTATCAGAAGAAGGAATGTTCCACCATTTAGCCCAGCTCTCACACAGCACCCCAGAAAATGGAATCTGTGCATCAGCCACAGGGATGATATTTGTGAAGGGGCTGCCTTTTTCTCTCATAGGTATAGGAGCTTAGAATGGGAAGTCCTTTGAGACTTTGAGGGATCTTGGAGAAATGAGGGGAGTTATGCTTGTGTTGCATATGCTCATTCCACCAGGCACTTCATTGTTTAAACAAGAAGAAATAGAATTTCTAACTTCTTAGAGGTTGTGGATGCACTGTGACTTCCAGTACCTTTCATGACTCCTGGTGGAGTAGAGAGGTTGACCACCTAGGGAGGGTTGCAAGGTTGCCTTAGCATTTGGAGCTCATCAGCTAAACAAGGTCAGAATGGGTCAGTGAGTTGAGCTGTATTAGTTCCCTGTGGGCTGCTGTAACAGTACCACAAACTGGGTGGCTCAAAGCAACAAGGAGTTATCCTGCCACAATACTGGAAGACAGAAGTCCAAAACCAAGGTGTTGGCAGGATTGATTGCTTCGGGAGGCTGAGGGAGAATCCAGCCTAGGCCTCTCTCCCAGCTTCTGGTGGTTGCTACAGTTCCTTGGCTTTATAGATTCATCACACCAATCTATGCCTCTGTCTTCATGTAGCTTTTCTTCCTCTGTGGGTGCCTCTGTTCTCCTTTTCTCTCTCTTGTAAGGACACTTATCATTGGATTTAGGACCCATTCTAATAAAAGGTGATCTGATTTTAGGATCATACAGTCACCTTCATAGGTACCAGGGGCTATAACTTGGACATATCTTTTGGGGGACACAGTTCAATTTATTGTGTCCTTTGAACAGGAAAATAGGGTGCTGCCCTGGAGAATGATGGGGGCTAGCTGGGGAAACTGGGGGGTGAGGGTATTTGGGGACATTGTATCCCTCATGAACTGTGTCTACAGAGATCTCTGTGCAGGAATTGCCTTGGCGAGATTATCACACAGCCCTTATCTCTCTGCTTGGCCCCTAACCACTCCCCTCAGCCAGCTTAGCATGCACCTGGTGTTTATTGGAACCACCTTGAAGCAGACCTTCCTCTAGTCATCTTCCTGCATAATGAACCCTTGAAGCTTTGAGCCCCTCAGGACCTGAGGTGGAGACACTGTGTCTTTCAGTCCTGTTGCACTACAGCATGCCCCTCTGTTCACAGCCAAAGGACCAATTTTCTGTAGAGATTAATCTTAAGTTTCTTGGAATTCAGTTTTTAAATGAGCCCGGGCTTTGTAGCATGAAAGATTTACTGTGGATTTTCTTTTTACAAACACAAGAATGAATAATCCAAGTTCTAAGAATAAAAATGGGCTTCCAGAAACTGCTTTCTTCTATGTTAAGCACAGTGTGGTACTGATTAACCCAGATGCAGGCTACAAGTAGTGTTCTGAGAAGCTGATTCAGGGGGCCTCTTGAAAGTTGACTTGGGCCCCATGTCATGGGCCACCAAGCTCTCTCTAGTATATTGGAAAACCATTATTAACAACCCAGGCAAGGCAAGTAGCCCTGAGGAGAGAGCAAGTATCTCTGGACTACAACTCAACTTTGTCTTTCTCTTCCCTGGGCAGAAGCCTCCTGTCAACTTCCTCTTGCCTGTTTGTAGGACTCCTCCCCAGCTGGATCCAACCCAGTGGCTGAGCAGCACTGCATGGCTCCCAAAGCCCAGCTGTCCTTCAATATGTGAGCTGCTGTTATGTTTTGGGGCCCATGCTCTCTTCATGTCTCTCCCCTTATTGCTAGCTTGTAAATGTATAGTTTCTATAGGGTTGTCTCTTTTGTTACTAGTGGATCATTTGAGTTGTGTTCCTCTATTAATACTACTGATGGGACAGTGCAGAGAAGTCAAGCAGCTTTTTAAGTGTCATTGTCCCTAGGATATTAATCATAAGCAGGGAGGATAATCAAAATGTCCTGATATAGGCCCTGGCCAATCAGGAAAGGACCAGCTATAGCACAAAGAATACCTCATGGACTCCTGAGAAGTTCAGGCTAGGGGCCCTGGCATTGGGAGGATGCCAGAGCAATGGGTAGTCATGGAACTTTCTTGGTGTTTAGTTAGCAACTGCTCAGAAGTAGCTCAGTACCTTGACAACTGAAACTGCCATACCTATGCATGGCAGCTGTGTATCACAGCCAAATGTAACCCAGTGGAACACTGCTAGAAGTGACATGCTTGTCTTGTTTAGAAAATCTGCTCTTGGTAAATTACAATTTTTAAAAGATATGTGCAGTTTAAAATTCCCTACTGAAACAGCATTCTGAAGAATTAGACTGCCTTGTATTCTTTTTTAAAAATACATTTTATTAATTATGCCATTACAGTTGTTCTATTTCCCCCCTTCTTTTCCCTCCACCCTGCACACCCCTCCCCCAACATTCCTCCCCATTTAGTTTATGACCACATGTCTCAAGTTCTTTAGATTCTATATTTCCCATACTATTCTTGCACTCCCCCCTATCTATTTTCTACCTACCGTCTATGCTACTTATTTTCTGTACCTTCTCCCCCCTTCTCCTTCTCCCACTCCCCTGTTGCTAACCCTCAATATGATCTTCATTTCTATGGTTCTGCTCCTGATCTAGCTGTCCCCTTAGTTTGCTTTTGTTTTAGGTGTGGTTGTTAATAACTGTCAGTTTGCTGTCCTTTCACTGTTCATCTTTTTCATCTTATTTTCTTAGGTAAGTCCCTTTAACATTTCATATAATAATGGCTTGGTGATGATGAACTCCTTGAATTTGATCTTATCTGAGAAGCATTTTATCTGCCCTTCCATTGTAAATGAAAGCTTTGCTGGGTAGAGCAATCTTGGATGTAGGTCTTTGGATTTCATGACTTGGAATACTTCTTTCCAGCCCCTTCTTGCCTGTAAGGTGTGTTTTGAGAAATCTGCTGACAGTCTTATGGGAACTCCTTTGTAGGTGATTGTCCCTTTATCTCTTGCTGCTTCTAGGATTCTCTCCTTCATTTTAATCTTGGCTAATATAATGATGATGTGCCTTGGTGTGTTCCTTCTTGGGTCCAACTTCTTTGGGACTCTCTGAGCTTCCTGGACTTCCTGGAAGTCTATTTCCTTTGCCACATTGGGGAAATTCTCCTTTATTATTTGTTCAAAGAAGTTTTCCACTCGTGGCTGTTCCTCTTTCCCTTCTGGTACCCCTATAATTCGTATGATGGAGCATTTAAAGATGTCCTGGAGATTCCTAAGCCTCCTTTTTTTGAATTTTTGTTTCTTCATCCTTTTCTGTTTGGTCATTTTTTTCTTCTTTCTGGTCTGCTCCCTTTATTTGAGTCCCAGTTTCCTTTCCATTACTATTGGTTTCCTATGCATTTCCCTTTATTTCAATTAGTTTAGCCTTCATGTGTTCCTCTAATTTGTGACTAAAATCAACCAGTTCTGTGAGCATCCTGATCACCAGTGTTTTGAACTGTGCATCTGAAAGTTTGGCTATTTCTTTGTCACTAAGATTTATTGGCTCTGGGGCTCTGAGTTGTTCTTGAGCCATGTTTTGATCTGTTCATGCTTGTTACGTATGAGGAGCGGAGCCTGAGGGTGGGGCCACCCAGCTGTGATGCTGTATGTGGGGGCGGGGTCAGAGAGGGACAAAGGCAGTCCCCTCTGCTGCTTCCTGCTGCTGGGGCCTGCATGGTCCATCTTACTGCTCGCTCCCTCACTGGTCTATCTGCATGCGAATGTGTGACCGAGGTTTGCCCTCAGTGGATCCACCTCCTTGCCCCGTCAGTGGGTCCTCCCGCTTCTCCACATCTGGGATCCACACATGGCTGCTGGCGCACTTGGGTCGAACGCCTGGGTCAGTCTGGTTGTTCTTTTCTGCCTGACCCTGCTCTGCTGCTGGCTCTGCCTCAGGTTTGGCTGAAGGGTTCGTTGTTGTCAGACTTCTATGTAGTTCAATTTTCTGTGGTTTGGCTGCATTATTGTTGCTAAAACTTTGTTGTTTTTAAACTTGGTTGTGCGAGAAGGCACAGTGCTTCCACCTACACCTCCATCCTGGCGGAAGTCTGCCTTGTATTCTTTTATTTAGCAATGAGTCAGTTACTTGAATGGATGTTTCATGGTGGAGAATACAAATTTTGTAAATAATATGGTGAAGTAGAAAGTTCCATAGATACCATGCAGGTCAGAGGAACACTAAGAATCTGTTGTTGCAGAACAGGATGTATTTCAAGCAAAATACCTTTTGAAAAAGCAAGTTGCAAAGCTCCAAAAGGTTTCCTAGAAGTAGCTTGACCATCCTGATACATGCTCTCTACATTTTTAAGTCTAGTGGAAATGTTTGCCTTTACTGGTAGCAGATAGGAAATCACTGAGCATCCCCTACTTTCTCTGCCCACTCTGCTGTGATTAGTTATGACCACATCCAACTAAACAAAAAAATTTATATTTACCTATATTTAACTAGCTTCCTAAGGGGGGCACATAGATTATATACTACCTTCTAGATGTCTTTAGGTTGGAATTCAAGTTTTCATCAACACTGGACAGAAGAACCTATCTTCTGACTAGGTCTCCTGGGTAAGCTCTAATGGCTTCCCCTCAAGCTGGGGGCCATGGGGAGGGATGGTGATGATGGTCTCACTCTTCCAGAAGTGGACTTAGGACCTTACCCTGAGGAAATAGACGATCATCCCCAGGAGACTTTTGGGCCCTAATGTACTTCCCCAAATAAGAGGCAGGACACTGTGAGCGCTTCAAGGACAAGGCCCAGGTGTTTCAATTTTGGATCCCAAAACGAATGCCTAGTACACAGGCTCTTAACAAATGTTTGCTTGATTGATGACAGCCACAGCCTTACTCCTCCTATGTGGAGGGGACTTCTAGTGTTGGCCCTGCGTCCCTAGCTCTTATGCATTAAATCAGCCACCGAAGAAGGCTGCTCTGTCTTTGAGACTCAAATGGTAATACAGTTCCAAGAATGTCATTCCCCAAGAGATGTGAGTATATTTGAAACTGGAAAAGAGACCAGCATTCAGACTGCCTGTCACTACCAAATCCAATAAGCAATGACAGCGATTGAATCTTTATGGGCACTTTATTCAGATGGCCAGCAATCTGAGAAGATGGTGGGGTTCATACCCTAATAGACCATCTAGTCTTCTCTTTCTAGGCCAGACTTTTTTATAACAGGGGGAATAAACAAGGTGCAGTGAGGACTTTGAGATTCAGAAGCTGCAAAATTCCTGTCCTGGGCAGTTAGTTGTTCCCAAGGGAGAGTGGTTGTCAGTTTCTCCCTAGAACACAAAGGCCCTAATGCCTCCAGTTGTCCCCAGGTGGTAATCTCTAGAAGTGCCCCAGGAGATCAGCTGTTTTCATAGAAGCCAGGACAGGCCTTATCTGTAGTTTCTGAAACAAAAGCTTTAACATACACATTACTTGCTAGACTTATAACTTTTTACCGTAAGCTAAAATTTTCCAAGTCTTGAGTCCCTTATCATATTCTCGAGGTCTCAACTATGCACAGACTTTCCCTATCGTGCAGGTTTTGTAATTTTGTCCAGGGTATGGAGGGACATCTTTTCATATTGTGCTCTGCCACTCAGGTCTCCATCTTTTTGCTCTCTCCTTTATTTCATCCACAGAGCACAGCTGTCCCTGTTTGGGTTGAGATTTTCATTTGGGTAATAGAAGGGAGACTTACATGTCAAGTGTAGTCCTTCAAAGGATGATAAACACTTGGACAGGAATGTGTCCTGGTCATGGTGGTCACCTGAGTAGCAAGCAAGTCATGACCAGCATGCCTGTGGTTGTCTTTGTACAATGTGTGCTTTCTCAAGTTCAATGTGTGCTTACCATGGCTGTTCATAACGAGTACCAGACACAATGGCAAGTAGCTTCACATATGTTACAGCACTATACACAATCCACTCTGAGAACATGACCTTTGAAATCACATTTTTTATTTTACTCCTAGGGTGAATAAGAGCCAGCTGACCTTATTAGTTTATCAAGTAGGGGATTAGTTAGCCTGACCACTCATCCATGCTTTTTAGCTCCAAAAAGTTAGTGGTCCATGCATACGAGTGACAGGCACGCAGGGTGGCAGTATGGTTGCTTGTTATCTCTCTTTTCTTCTTAAAACAGTACCAGTAGTCATGTTTGAGGGTAGTCTGAGATTGAGCATGAGAAGTGCTGCCTTCACAGAAACAACTGCAACAGCAAGTGTGTTGTAGTGGGCCATGGAGTTTCCAATAAGCCCGTTTTCAGCAATCCTCATTAACTTGTGGGTTTGCCTTCTGCAGGTCAAGTTGTTATGTTTTGAAATGTGAGCCTGTATGATTAAAGGGCCTGATCACTCAGGTCAACTGTTGGCTGAAGAGTGCTCTTACCCCCCCCTTTTTTTTTTTCAAAATTTTAATTGTTGTTCAAGTACAGTTTTCTGCCTTACCCCCTTCTTAAGCCATATAAAAGGTTTGCATGGGCACCAATTTCCTAAAGCTTCGATTGCCTTGAAATACAAGAGGAGGTCTCAGTTTGCCCACCCAGGAGCCAATGCCATCCCTTCTCACTTCCTCAACGTGGGGAGGTCACCTGAAATCCATTCCCTAGCCCTTTATCCACCTCTTATGCAGTGCTTCCTGGGGTGCAGGAGTGCATGTCTGGTCTTAGAGGTCATGCTCTGAGCCAGAGCCCCTGTGGATGATATAGAGTTTGATATAGAACACC